CGGCGGCCTGACCGCCCCCTCCGCCGCCCTCTCCCCGCAGGAGGCCGATGGCACCCTGGACTGCATCAGCATGGCCCTGACCTGCACCTTCAACCGCTGGGGCACGCTGCTGGCCGTGGGCTGCAACGACGGGCGCATCGTCATCTGGGACTTCCTGACCAGGGGCATCGCCAAGATCATCAGCGCTCACATTCACCCCGTCTGCTCGTTGTGGTGAGAACGGGCGAGAGAGGGCTCCTTTGCTCTTGGAGCAAGCGGAAGCCACGTTGAGTTGGACCTGAGCTCGTAGCCCACGCGCTGGGTCTGAACGTTCTCCTTTCAATCAGAATTTGTCCCTGCCCGCCTTTGCTGAGCGTCAGGTGCTCGCTCGGGTACCCTGGCAGCTCTTAACGCCGGGGCGTGTTGATTATTGAAACGCCAGACCGTTTCCAGGATACCCGGTTATGTGTTGGGATAGTTTCCTTCAAGAGAGCATGGAAATGCTTTGTGCCCGTGAAGTTTTTGGAGGTTAGCAGAGCTGGTTGGTTATGTTTGGGGATAGTTTCCTTTAGGACAGTTTGGAAATGCATTATGTCCATTAAGTTTTTGGATGTTAACAGGGATAGCCGGTTATGTTTTGGGATAGTTTCCTTTAGGACAGTTTGGAACTGCATTATGTCCATTAAGTTTTTGGATGTTAATAGGGATAGCCGGTTATGTTTTAGGATAGTTTCCTTTAAGAGAGCTTGGAAGTGCCTTGTGCCCATCAAGTTTTTGGATGCTAGGTCATTTTTCACACTAGCAGATTAATATCTGAGCCTGAGAAATTAGTCTGATAATTTTAAACCATGGGTGTATGCCTTATGTATTTAAGGAGTGACTTTGACTTGAACTGCCTCTCGTTACTGCAGCTGGAGTCGAGATGGTCATAAACTGGTGAGTGCTTCGACTGATAACATCGTGTCGCAGTGGGATGTGCTCTCTGGAGACTGCGACCAGAGATTTCGGTTTCCTTCACCTATCTTGAAAGTTCAGTACCACCCTCGAGACCAGTAAGTCCTGTGAAAAAAGGGTCAAATGCTCTCATTTTGGCAGAATTGCTCTCGCTTTGGTAGAACTAACGGTTGTTAAAATCTTTTTATTGCGGTTTGCAAAGTGATTTTTTTCCAAACCTAGCAGATGCTGTCAGTGTATCTTCTTTTTGTGATTAGAACCCTAACTGGATTTGCTGTGGCTCTTTTTATTATGAAAATATCAGGAAGGGGGGGGAGGGTAAACAAGGGAATGCTTCTTAGAAATGTGTATAGGAATGGCTTGTGGAGTTTACAAGTTACTGCATAAACTTGGAGAAGCTTCCAGAAAAAGAAAGTGGAAACCAGCTTATGTCCTGTTGCGATTAAAGTAACAAAGATGAAATAAGATAATAAAAATACAGAGGTGTTCTGTATTTCTTGTTATAGGTCAAGAGTTTTTTCTCACTTCTAAATGTGGAAACTTTTTTTCCAGAGAAGAAATTACTGACTCTTCTTTCTGTGCTTTGCAGAAACAGAGTTTTGGTTTGCCCCATGAAGTCGGCGCCGGTGATGCTAACGCTGTCAGACTCCAAACACGTTGTCCTACCTGTGGATGATGATTCTGATCTCAATGTTGTGGCCTCCTTTGACAGGCGAGGGGAATACATTTATACGGGCAATGCCAAGGGGAAGGTGAGACTTCAGCAGGCGGCACTGGATGCAGTAGCTTAGATTAATTCCTGTCTTTATCAAGGTGCTTAACGTTTCTGGGTTGCGTTCTTCGTTTTAATACACAGATAAGGCTTCCTGAATGTCTCTTGAATAATTGGGATTGTGCTGGTGTGATCTTCTGAACAAAGCATCACGCTTTATCTGTGACGATCTCTAGGCTGTAATACTTTGTCTGAGTTAGGTCTTTGTGTTGCTGTTGTCTTTGACCATGTTTGTTGGATCCTTTTCCAGTGTAAATAAACCAATGTTTATGACGCAGAACTGTCGCAGAAACTGTAGTAGAAACTGCAGTTGCAGAATCCCAACTATTCCCGTGTAGATTGCTGAGGCTTCTGTTGTCAGGGTTAGTAGCTGGCGTGAAAGGTACCGAAAGGGGAATGAGTTAAAACAAAGATACTGATTGCCTTCTGTCTCCTTAATCTTCAGATCTTGGTCTTAAAAACAGACACTCAGGATCTTGTTGCTTCCTTCAGAGTGACAACTGGAACCAGCAACACCACAGCTATTAAATCCATTGAATTTGCTCGGAAAGGAAGGTGAGTTACTTCCTTTGTCAGGTGGTGTCTTTCAAGACGAATTGAGAGCTCTAGGGTAGATTGACAGAGCATAAAAGACCCTAACCCCTTTCCCCCTCCCAGTTCTTTCATGGAACATACTCTAATTCTTTATATTTTCTTAGTCTTCTAATGCAATGCATGTTCTGTGCCCTCCTTCCTACAGCTGCTTTTTAATAAACACAGCTGACCGGATAATCAGGGTGTATGATGGCCGTGAAATTCTAACTTGTGGACGAGATGGGGAGCCTGAACCAATGCAGAAGCTGCAGGATTTAGTGAACAGGTGAGAGGCAGCAGAATGGCTGGTCAGCCTGACCTCAAAAGGTGAGGTTTGGGGGCTCTGCATTAATGGGAGTCTCGGGATGAAGGGTAGCTCAGGATCTTATTCAGCGTAACGGACGGATGCTTTCATATGAAACCTGTCTGTCACAACTTGATTTAAAGCTTAAATATTATTTGTGGATGGGAGTAGGAAAGATCTCAGTCTGAAGAACAAGCCTGCTCCGCAGTCCTCCATCCTCCGTGTTGTGCTGTTGTTTAACTGTGGCGATGTTTTTGCCTGCAGGACGCCGTGGAAGAAGTGCTGTTTCTCTGGTGATGGTGAATATATAGTGGCAGGTTCAGCACGACAGCATGCCCTGTACATTTGGGAGAAGAGTATTGGAAACCTAGTGAAAATCCTCCACGGGACCAGAGGAGAGCTGCTCTTGGATGTAGCAGTAAGAAAACTGTCTGCTATTACGATGTTCCTTGTAATTTTGAAAACTAAGCTTTCTTAATTCCATTTACCAATTAAGTTCCTCCTCTTTTCTCTTTCAAATAAATCTAGTGGCACCCTGTCCGACCGATCATAGCTTCTATTTCAAGTGGTGTTGTGTCAATATGGGCTCAGAATCAAGTGGTAAGCGTTTTGGATCGTTTCCTTACGAGGATTCCCTAGCGGTCTCCATATTGATAGACTGAACTATTGCATGCTGAAATCCTTTATTAAATTCCAGCTCAACAAGCTCATTAGGTTCACCTGTTTGAACTTGAAATGCGTTTGCTGTCTTGTTGAAAGTGAGGATGGTACTCACGCTTCAGAACTAGTTAAGCTTTGCATTAAAGTCTTAAATACCATCACTGGGACACCTGATTCATATGAAACCTGTCTGTCACAACTTGATTTAAAGCTTAAATATTATTTGTGGATGGGAGTAGGAAAGATCTCAGTCTGAAGAACAAGCCTGCTCCGCAGTCCTCCATCCTCCGTGTTGTGCTGTTGTTTAACTGTGGCGATGTTTTTGCCTGCAGGACGCCGTGGAAGAAGTGCTGTTTCTCTGGTGATGGTGAATATATAGTGGCAGGTTCAGCACGACAGCATGCCCTGTACATTTGGGAGAAGAGTATTGGAAACCTAGTGAAAATCCTCCACGGGACCAGAGGAGAGCTGCTCTTGGATGTAGCAGTAAGAAAACTGTCTGCTATTACGATGTTCCTTGTAATTTTGAAAACTAAGCTTTCTTAATTCCATTTACCAATTAAGTTCCTCTTTTCTCTTTCAAATAAATCTAGTGGCACCCTGTCCGACCGATCATAGCTTCTATTTCAAGTGGTGTTGTGTCAATATGGGCTCAGAATCAAGTGGTAAGCGTTTTGGATCGTTTCCTTACGAGGATTCCCTAGCGGTCTCCATATTGATAGACTGAACTATTGCATGCTGAAATCCTTTATTAAATTCCAGCTCAACAAGCTCATTAGGTTCACCTGTTTGAACTTGAAATGCGTTTGCTGTCTTGTTGAAAGTGAGGATGGTACTCACGCTTCAGAACTAGTTAAGCTTTGCATTAAAGTCTTAAATACCATCACTGGGACACCTGAACGTGTCGTGTAAGTGCAGGAAATCTATGTGAGTGAGCCCAAACTTAAGTGGCTAGACATGAACATAGAGCTTTGGGTTTAGGGGTAATTATTACATACATTGCAATATTTAAGGCATATTATGGTGTCCTATTTTCAGCCGGAGCTAACTAGTGCAGTTAGCATGACTGCGGACCTGAGTGAGGCTTGGTGTTTGTGATCTGGCACACAGCTTGGGGGATTTTAATGCAGAATGAGACTGTAATTGCATGAGTCCTCACGTACCTTTGCGTAAGGTAAAAATTGGTTTGAATTTGTGGTTTAGGAAAACTGGAGTGCCTTTGCGCCTGACTTCAAAGAGCTGGATGAAAATGTAGAATATGAAGAGAGAGAGTCAGAGTTTGACATTGAAGATGAAGATAAGAGTGAACCAGAACAGACAGGTACTGCATAAACTGTGTTTCTACGTAGCAAATAATTCATAGTCTCAATACATGAGCATAGTAAAAAGGAAAACTAGAGGTCATGGTAGTACACATGGGTGCTACGGGACAGAACAGGACTGGAATAAATGACGGTGTAGGAAATAGCACAGTCTGTATGATTCCTGCCAATTAATATGCAATTTTTTTTTTAGAAATGCCTCCCCTTTCCCATATGTGTTTAAGCAAACAACAACAGCAAATAAACATCGTCCTACAGGCTTGCTCTCAACAGCAGTGGCGAATTTGAATCAGTAGGAGCGCAAGCTGCCCACTTGGTGGTGCCAAAAAATGGTGTACTGCGAAAGGCTGTAGTTAAACTGTGGAAAGAAATAGGGATTATTCCCAGCACACCACAGAGCTCTTCTCATTACCAGGCTTTGCAGCACTTCTCGTATTTAGGTTAATTGTTGTTGAGCGGTTTTTAATATTCAAGTGTAACATTGACTTGTGCGAATTGAGCATTGAAACAGATTTCATCTGATTAAGAACTATGTTAGTGAAAACAACAAAACATGTTGAAGATTTAAAATCTGTCTAGCTTTACTGCTGGTGTTTTATAACAATAGACCTGTATTAGAACATAGAAAAAAACCTCAACCTGATAGATTTAAGAGGAAATTCTTTAGATTTGCTTTCTGCTTTAATTCTCATGTCTGCATGCTGAGGCTTTTAAGCACAGACCTGTTCTTTCGGGGTCATTTGGTCGTCTCCTTACTGTCTTTAATTCTTCTTTTTTCCCTGATTCTCAGGTGCTGATGCTGCTGAAGATGAAGAAGTGGATGTAACTAGCGGGGATCCCATTGCTGCCTTCTGTAGCAGGTGCAAGAGGGTTTTGTTTTAATTAAAGTATGCATATAAAATGTTTCACTACGATTCTCTGTATAATATGTTATAATAACCCCTAATTTTAAATGAAAGCAAATTTTTTTTCCTTAACAGTGATGAAGAACTGGAGGACTCCAAGGCTCTGCTTTACTTGCCCATTGCTCCTGAAGTTGAAGATCCAGAAGAAAACCCCTATGGACCCCCACCAGATGCAGTTCAGAGCTCTTTAACTGATGAGGGAATAGGTTCTGAGAAGAAGAGGCAGTCCTCCTCTGATGGACCTCAGGCACCAAAGAAGAAGCCCAAAACCACCAACATTGAACTACAAGGAGTACCTAATGATGGTGCGTAGAAGCTGTCATTGGTTTATTGCCTGTTCTGCATCTGAGATGGTCTGAAGACCAGAAGTTCAGGAGGCCACTCCCTAATTTTCTCCTTCCTGTGAAGTCACTTCTTACAGCAGTTATTAACAGTCACCAACGCTGCAAATTTTGCTGGCATTTTGCAAGCTGGGAATGAGTAAAGGCAGCTTGACACTGTAGTTTTTCACGATGGATGTGCTGGTAGAAGCGTCCCAAGAGATAACTCCCTTTGGTAATGCATTGTGTCTCCACAGAAGTCCATCCGCTGCTGGGTGTGAAGGGAGATGGTAAATCCAAGAAGAAGCAAGCAGGCAGGCCTAAAGGATCAAAAGGTAAAGACAAAGATTCTCCATTTAAACCGAAACTCTACAAAGGGGACAGAGGTGCTTTACCTCTGGAAGGAGCAGCGAAGGGTAAAGTGCAGGCGGAGCTGGGACAGCCTTTGACAGGTAAGGAGAACCCAGCGTGAGCGTCGTTGCCTTGCTTGGTGGCCTTGCTTTGTACAGACCCTGACTTAATATAGCATTTTATCGTCCCAAATGGCACTTGCTCACCAAACATTTAGCTGCTGTCAAGGATAGGCAAAATTTTACTTTTTTTTTTTTTTTTTTTTAAAGTTGAAGTGCTTTCAATACTTTTAATAAAACTGATATCCATGCCTGTGTTGCTGATACAAAGAGCATGTAGGGTTTTTATTAGAGACTGAGCACTACTTTAAAAGCAAAACAATCTTTCTGACTAATCTTTTCGATAGCTTCTGTCAACTCTTACACAAGCAGTAACGGTGTTTGGTTTTGCTGGGTCGATTTTGAGGGGGAAGAATGTAAATAGTGAAGGATTCTGAAGCTTAAATTGACATTTTGTGCCACCAATAGTAGGCAGAGTGATGAAGAACAGAAAAGTTCTGTAAGCAGAACTAGGGCATGGAGCATCAATAATGGTCCGTTTGATAGACGAACCCTGAGATAAAATTCAGGAGCTGACATTTTCTATTCCTAGCTATACAGCAGCCATAGTTAAACTCCAGAAAGTGCAGCTGCTGTAAGTGAAGATAGATTTTGGTGGACTTTTCTCTTTTTTTGTTTCTTGTTATGTTTTGTTGGTTGTGTACTAAACCAGGACTATTGCAGACACCTTTGTTGGGGCCCAGACAGTCTCAGAGAGACTCAGTGTTTCCTGTCTGTCTCATTTGCTACTTCAGATTCTGATTTGGGAAAAGTTCATTCAAGTGTAGGAAAGAAAGCACGTGTTTGGATTAAGTGATCTGGGTCCATTTATTATTTTTTTTTACATTGTAATGAAGAGCTCAGGGTTGACCTATGAACAGTTTCAAAGACGCAGTGTAATTGATACATCAAATTTTGCATTTCCTTGAACTCAGCAGCGGCTGCTGTGGATTTTAGGCTGTACAGAAGTGATTTTATTTTTTCCCCCCCGCTTCCTTCCCTCACTGCTGGTCCTATGCTACCCACCTTGCTCATTGTCCTTCCTGCTCAGCTCCTGTTGTGTTGCCTGTATTGGTACTGATAATTGCTGTTTGCAGAAAAGGGGAATGTGATAAAAGAAACTTAGTCTATACGTGGAAAAATGTGGTGGGTGTTTTCTAGGCTTCCACTTAATCCTTTCACGCTGCACCTTGCAAAATCCAAAAATTAAACAAATGGCCAAGAATATCCTTAGTTTGTACCCTTGGAGGTACTGAGTAGCTTCTGATTTACTGGACAGGGTGATTCTCTTTTGACTTCTCAAGTCATTAGGGGACATCCACTATGTTTTAAAGTATGATAGTAAGGAATTGTCTGGATTGTGTGGATCCACAGATGTTTTTGCTGGCATCTGTTGCACATCCTGATCGCTCTGTTGGGCCACGCTGGATGGACAAGACTGGTTTGAAGACCAATTGAGTGTAATCATTAGTTTCATCAGCAGGCCTGTTGATTGCTTTCTTTTATCACACTACTAATTAAGATGACCGCACGTAAAAGGATATAAATGAGGAAGGATCGTGCACTGGAAGGATCTATGTTTGTAGACAGATCTCAGTGTACTTTCTTCTTGCAGCTTGTGATCGCTATTGCATCGGTCTGTTCTGAGAACTGGAAAAGTAATAATCCCACTTCCTCTAGCACGTTTCAAATGAAGCAACGTTCCAGACAGACTCCTTCCTTGGTTTTTTACACATCCTTGCAAAGCTGATTTGGGCGCATTTTTGTGTGTTTTGCTTGTAGTGCTCCCACACAGTTGTTATCATCTGACTTGCTATAAAAGACAACGGTGGAATTTTACTGGCTACTGCTGCTGAGCTTGGGATGTGCCAGCACGGTTAGCTTTGGGGCTTGGACACTGTAAAATGGCAATTTTATTTTCTTACAAAGGAATGGGTTTAGACGCAGGTTCCCTACTTACTTTCCCCATCTACTGGAGATGGTAGAGCTTTCTAAAATTTACTTTTAGTCTTTGTTGTCTGTAAGCACTTTAAGGTATTTTTCCGTGGTGGTGCCAATAATTAATATTGCTCTAATGGACTTCTGTCTCTCATTAGGACCTGTTATTATGCTCCCTTCTACAGTACTGTTGACTTAAGAGGATCCAATAGATCCATGCAGTAGATCTCAGTAGCCAGTGTTGGAAGTGTCTATGTGAGTCATGTTATGAGAAGAACAGATTGACTGTCCACTGAAAGAAACTGTCACTCGGATCTTTCCAAACACAGAGTAGTCTTTTAGTCCGTGAAGTTCACGTCTGCCTTACCTTATTCTCTTTAGGGCTTGCACTTACAATTCCTATTTTGGGCAGCCCCTTTTTTTCTTGGGGTTGTCGGTGTTCAACCATGTGCAAATACACACTTCCAAATTCAAATGGCCAACCTGCCTGGGATCCTGGAGCCAGACCGCCTTCTCTGTCTCTCGTGCATGAAGCTTTTCATTCTGCTAGTTCCTTGTGCTGTTGCTTTCTGAAGTAACTAATGAGTCGCTAAAACAGTCACGCAGCAAGCATTTCTCCTCTGGAAGCTGTTTGCTGATACGCCGTAATACATCTGCAAGCTGCATGGCCGGGCCTCGGAGCTTGCTGCAAGCACGTCTGTGTCCCTGTGCTGCGCAGCCTGGCAGGAAACATCTTATTCTTAAAGCTGCTATGTCAAATCAGGTTTCAGTGTAAACAAACTGAGAAGCTCGATCCATTTTATAGTTTTAGAATAAAATCCTACGGCAATCTGGTTTAACCCAAACTTAGGTGGAACTTGGTGTTTTCAGTTGTGCTTTTGCTCTGAGGTTTTGGGATCGATGAATTGTAAAATTTTACACCAGGTAAGTTTGCTCGCAACTTTGTGGAGTAAAAGCTGAGCGTTCCTAAGCCGCCTTGTCCATGCCTGTGCACGTGATCTCACATACAAATGCAGAAATGCTAGAAGTCTTAATTTGTCATAGGCAGTATCTTGTTGATTATATCTCATTCTGAAACAAATGGCTTTTTCTAGAAAATCTTGTGTTCTCTCATTTTTTTTCTGGAAATGCTACCATATTTGGTGGTCTCTGGTTTCTGGTAACATCTGTTTGAGTCTGATTACTTATTTTTCACCTGTCTTTGATCTCTTTAGCAGGTGGTGCAATCTCAGAATTGTTATGAAGACACTCTTCTTTATCTTCCTGTATTCTTTCCTATATTGGCACCATAATGTGGAAAATAGATTAAACGCTCAGTCAGAGCGGACTGACTAATACAGCAGACTGATTGTTCATGGATTCAGGGAGTGACTTTTGTAAGAATTGACTATGGAAGAGGAAACGGCCTTCATTCCTCCTTAACTGCCTCTTCATGGAACAGTGTAAGATGCTGGCTCTCAGGTCATGTGATTTGCAAAGAGACTAACTGGACTGCCTTTGTGGTGACGTATAGAACTATTCCTAAAGCAAGCTGGTACCCAACACTCTGCCGCTCCACAGCTTGTCAGCCATTGGCTTTTAAATATTTTATTTTTTTTGTTGTTCCTGGATTGAAGAATCCCCAAAGTGTGTATTTTTATTCCTGATGCCGTGTGACTGTGTATGCTGCGAACGTCCCTTTCTTTGCTGTTAATTTTCATTTTGGTGAGTTGTAAGTCCTTCTGTGCCAGCTGCATTACCTTATCAGCTTTTCTGTCAGCTCAGCGTGATGCCTTCTATGCTGACGTACTTAGTGAAACACTGCTGCTGATTATGTGCCAGGTTTGGTTTCATCTCAAGTGGATAGAGCTCTGATGTGAAGAATCAAGACACCCTCTGAAGTCTACAAAGAATGAATCCACATATTGTGAATATTTTAGACATGAAGGATGACTCTGCTTATGGGAAAAGGAACGAGTGAAATTAGCTCTAGATAAAATACTCTGTTTATATGCTTTCTTCTAGCCTGTGATATGAAAAGCTGTGTTGGCGGTTTCTTTCTGTCCTTGCAAATATTTTTATTCTGTCTCTTTCCTGTGAGGTGCCCTACCAGAAACAGTCGCTTTCCTCCTTAGCTGGTAGGTACTGGCAGTTAGAGAGAAAACAGAACCAATATTTCTCCGAACCAAAAGAGTAGTTTTCCAGGCTTTTTTTTCCCCCCCCACTTCTGGATCAAGAATGGAAGAAAGGTGAATGCTAACAGCCGATTCCCAGCCATGCTTTAACTTTGTATTCCTTAAAGACGGTTGTAGTGTTTTCCCTGTGGGAGTGGGAAGAGACACTTTATCTATCCAGTACCTGCAGCCTGACGCCTCTCTGTACTAGCCTCTTAAAAGAAAGTTTTCATTCCTAATGCCCCTTGTTTTACAGACTTTTGTAGTTCTTATGCAATTACTTTCAGTTTTTCCCCAGATGTAATTATTGAGATTATTGCTACGTATTTAAATTTCCAAAGTATCTTGCAGACATTAAAAACCAAGGAGTCATAAAGAGATTTATTAATTTGCAGTCGGAAGTATGCAGTAGTTACATGAGATACAAGCATGGGAAGAGAGGAGATATTATAAGTCAGAAGGATTTTTAAAACTAGTATTTTCATTTCTGGCTTCGGAACAGTGGCCTGCTTCGTTTAATGAAATTCAGTCCCGTGCGTACAGTATTAGTTGTCTTTGCTCTTCCTGCTTGTAGGATGACTCGCATCTTTCCTGGAACACTGTTATGTCAAATCCACCCGTGTGTGGTGTGGCTGACCCCACAAGCTTTAAAAGACGCACAGGCAATGGTTCTCTAGGTTGTTTTAAAACATATAATTTGCCACAGACTCCAGCCTTCATTTATGTTAAAACTTCTCTGTACAGTGTATATGTCCTTGGTTTATTTTCTCCCATCTCTTATTTTATTTTTTGCTATCTAGTTTTGTACAATACTTGTCAGATACTGGCTTGGTGGTAGTATACAGCAGTGATGTTAGTTTTTGCGTTTGTAAATAAAGAGGTATGTTTTATTTCCTAAAGTCAATGGGTAAGTTTTGGCTTTTCCATACTGCCGTGATTGTTTATATTGTGACAATGTTTAGGAAATCTGCAATACAGCTCAACTGCCAACAAATGTGTTGTGCCTTCACCCCACAGCTGGTGTGTTGGGGTTTGGTTGGTTTTTTTAGTGTAGCATTTGGTTGATGATCTCTTTTCAGGGGACAGGAGTAAATCTGTAGCCTAATAAAAGCCCTGCGTACCTGAGCTCAGCCTAGGCCCTGAGAGAGACGTGCGAAAGGGGAGCTGAGCGCAAAGCGTGCTGGGTGTAGAGTGCGCCTCAGGGAAACTGAATGTGGAAAATACATATTAGATCTTCAGAAGTCTTCATTTTGATAAATTAAGGCTTGTTAGGGACAGAAATATGGTTATTTGTTAGCAGAGCTGTTGAAGAACATGGCAATGCAAACCCTTCTGCAATCCATAATTCAGATTATCGAGCTGCCTTGACCACCGTTCAGTTACACCATCAACAGTGAGTTACTTTTTTTCATGGAGAACTCCTAGCAGTGCGTTATTCTTTTGGGATGCCTGAGCACTGAGTGAATTATTCTGGGTGTACGAGTGGTTTCTGTTTTACAGATGCATCAACTGAATGTGGAGATCTTGGCTCCGATTGCTCTTCGGAGTTGGTGGCCCTGTGTGACGCAGAGCGTGGGGCTCACGCTCGCAGCTCCTCTGGGTGATGCTGTTGAATCCCTTCGGAGTCTGACAGCGGGTGTCAGGAGCCTCATACGATGCTTTCATCTCAGAGGACTCGCTTTGGCTTCGGGCTTAGGGGATTTCTTTGTTCTCCCTCAGAAGGTTTGGGGCCGCATTCTGACCCGGGCAGCCGGGCTGTGACATCGGCACCGTTCCCCTGGGAACACGGGCTCACGGACACGTGAGTGACCTCGCTCAGCCCTGCGTAGAGATGGGGGTCATCAGTGGGAAAATACTGTTCAGCTTCTTTTTGACATCAGACTGTCTAGAGGTTGAAATTGTGTTTTCGTGATCTTGGTAATTTGGGGAGTACTTTAAATTTTGGGATGTGCCTATGTAAGACAGAACTGTACAGGTGTAGCATAAGGAATTGGAATTTCCTTATGCTCAACAGCATTATTTTAAGGGTTCCAGTAATGATTACTTATATTGCTTTATAGTTTGGTGGGAAAATTAAACTGGAATAGTACTTCTTTAGAGTGGAAAGTCATCTAAATAGTGTGTAAAATCTTACAGAGAAGGGAGGGCTTCATCTTTTTAAAATTGTCAAATAGATCCCAATTGCTGGAATACAGTGGATTAAAACGCTCTGCTGCCATGTTACAAGAACTGGAATTCATGATTCACGCTCTGCCCAACGTAGTAACGTGTTGCATCTTCTTTAGCAGTGTTGTACTTCAAGCCTTTCTTGTTGGAGGATTTTTCCTAACAGAAGGATTGTGTCTTGAAGATGATTCCGGTGGGATTTCAGAAACACTCGGTTTGAAGGTTTGCAAAGAATGATTTGTGGGTTTGGGTTTTTTTGACTACTGCATTTGCACAGCTTCAGAAAGCAGAATGTCTGATAACCCCGATATGAAGACCTTGGGGAACAGCCACATCCTTGGAATATTACTTTGTGTTTTCTATCTACCGTTGGTAGTTTCCCTTCAAAAAGTTACCATCCCACCACAGCTGAAATCGGCTGTAGCAATAATTGTGGTCAACGCTACATCCTGCAGCGTCACCTGTGGGCTGGGCTCCAAACTGGAGGAGATGTGCGAGATCAACACTGCTGGAGAGAGGAGGAATTGCACCGTGCGCAGGTCCGACTGCCTGACCAGCTGGGTTTGTGGCTTGCTCCACTTCACCATCCCTGTGGGCAAACCCTTCCAGTTCAGCTGCCTGACCTCGGACGCGGTCGACGTTGATAGCCGAGCCTATATCTATACGTGGCGGCTTGCCGAAGGCCTTATCACCACAAATGATGTACTGTTCAGACCTTTCAAAAACCCCGATTCTGTCGTCAGATTTTCCCCTATCAGGGCGTCTGATGCAGGGACTTACCGATGTGATGTGCGGATGCTGAAGACATTGAAAGTCATCAAGAGGGTCTACTTTGGGGTCAGAGTGATCCAAAACGACTTAGTGGATCTGAACTTTGAAAAATCCTTGACCTGGGAACAGAAGTTAGCAGCATATGAGGAGGAAGGAAACACAGGGAACAGCACCCTGGAGGAAGAGCAAGAGCAGCAGCGCTTTTGGCAAGGGGAATTGTTTTACGAATGCTTGGTAGGAGTTGGAAGTGGAGTGCTAGCGGGTGTCTTGGTGAGCATGGCGCTCTGCTTCTTGCAGAAGATTTTGAGAAGGAGAGCTGCAAAGAAAACTGAGATTTAATGCAATTGCTCGTTTCTGTCTCTTTATTAGTATTGATGCAGTATTTCATGGCGATGTTAGTTACTTTTTTTTTTTTTTCTGGCTGACACAGTTTATTACTAAGTATTTTCTTAAGCTTCAGGGTATGGTAAGTTAGTACAGGACTGTAGCACCAGAGCTTGAGCCTTAATGGGGTAGTGCGTACAGTAGCTTCGGATGGGGCAAGGCAGTTTGCCTCCACATTGTGTGAAGGGACGGTCTGGAATGGTCCAGACTGGAGTTAGAGGACACTGAGCCACAGAAATGCCCACTGCTCACTGCTGACTGCCTTGCCATGCTCCTCTAGCTCGCCTTTATTTTACCTCTAGGTGTTTGGGTTTTTTATTTAGCTAATAACTCGCGATCCTGATTCCTGTCTTATTTCCTTTAATTTCTTCTGCTGTGCCCAGAACTCAGTGGCGATGTGAGCTGACACAGATCACTATTTGGTAGGTGGTGTTTCTCCAGCAGGAGGTGCAAAGTAAGGACACGTTCAACGTGGGCTTACAGCCAGGTTTCCTGGCTCTCTGGTGTCCTTTCCATCAGATCCAAGTGGTCCAGTCGCAGCAACTGTGGGGCCGTGTGGGGACGAGGGGTGGACCACCACTGCCTGCTTCCTCTAGAGGGATTTATCTCCCTCTGCTAGAGCCCAGGGGACTGTAAAGTATCTTCAAGCGATAGCTTGGAGCTGGCACTGTTCCCTTTGTAGTGTCGAGTAGTGAAGCAGGGAGCGTTGGGTGGCACAAGCAAATCTTCAATTTGAGCACTGCTGCTTAGGAACATAACTGAGTGGTTTTAATCGTGACTCAGAGCTGAGCTTATTCCTAAAATCTTGAAAGGGGGAGGAAGGGAAGAGTTCAGCGGGCTTATGGATCTTTCATTTTTCCTGGTGATTAATAAGTATAAAACATGCAGCAGCTCAGTAGGGAGTACTGTTTCCCCCTTGGTAGCAGAATCCACAGAGGGACCTATTAAGTGCATTCTCTTTCTACTTTCTGTCTCTTATTTTACAGTAAACAACAATATTTACTGTGTTTCCTTTTTTTTTTTTTTTCCCCTCCTGTGAACTAAAGTATGGGAATGCGTGGCACACCCAGTTGTGGGGAAGGATTAAAGATTGAAGCCTGCTATTATTTTTTTCTTTTTACCAGAGCAACAACAAAAAAAGCTTTAATATAAAAAAGATGGATATAGAAGTAAATACCTGATTTGCAGACAATCCTATATAAAAAAATCAGACTGAAACATAGCAAGCCAAATCTTCACATACAGTGAAGCCGGTCATAAGTGTGTCAGAAGAGCGATCTGCGGACCCTGGGGTCATCTAGCTGTATCTGAGTGGAGAAGCAAGGCTGTCATCAGGCTTGAATTCCTCGTTTGTAGTTCTACCGAATTCCCTGTTTCTGTGGGGAGGCTTTAATGGGCACACTGACCAGCAGAAGTTTGGAAATGTTGCGGGGAACCCTTCTGCAGTGACAGCAGATGCCTCTGGGAAGATGCATGGTGCCTTCCTGCTGCCTGGGGCGACCCTTGGGCAAGGGACAGGAGGGTTGCTATGCAGCTGTGACAGCCAGCAGGAGATTCTATGTCCTCCTTCCGACTGGTGACCTGCTCCCGGGGGTCAGAAGCTCCTGGGTGGTGATCCAGTTAGTTGTCCAAAACTTTCTTGCTTCTGGCCTTCATCCGTTTCTTCTGGCTCAGCTCCACAATACTGAATCATAGAATCATAGAATGTTTTGGGTTGGAAGGGACCCCTAGAGGTCATTTAGTCCAACCCACCTGCAGGAGCAGGGACACCGCTAACTAGATCAGGTTGCTCAGAGCCCTGTCCAACCTGGCCTTGAATGCTTCCAGTTCCTCCTGTGTTCAGTGCTGGCTTTGTCTTTGCTCGGCTGTTCCCTCTGGCTCTCCAATGCTTTTCTCTCCTTGGCTAGGAGCATGTGCTGCTTTCTCTGAGCCTTATTCCAGTATTTCCCTGTCTTTAGCTCTCTGAGGGCGTCCTCATCTGTGGTCAGTCTGCTTTGTTCTTCTGTGGTTCTGAAGGCCCTGCCCTTTAGCAGCTAGTTCTTGTGTTGCTCCTTCAAGGACCACTCAGTATGCCGGCTTCCATCTGTTCCCGTTATCCCCTGCTCTGCCCTCTGGGCTTTCATTCCATCGCCTTGGTTTTGCTGGTGCTCTAGCTGGGTCTGCAGCAGCCTCCTCCTGCAGCAAGCTCATGTAGCTCCTGTAACGACATGCGTGGTAAGGAACCGTAAGCTCTTTTGAGCCGGCAGTGGTGGCACGTGTCTATGGCCTGTTCTCACTGGCTTTATTTCTGCCCCCGCTCACTGCACTCTGCAGGGCAGGGTTCACCCCTGTGCTGCAGCCCTTTCTTGGGGTGCTATTTTCATCAACCTGAAGGCACTTAGGGAGCCACTGGTCCTGTTTGTGTTGCTTGCAGCCCCCGCCTCCTGACCCGTGAAGCATTTCTTGTTCCCTGAAAATTGGTCAGTACTGGCTGCATCTGCTTTCCAGGAGTTCTTGAAGTCTTCTGCACTCCTCTGTGCTTACACCACAGAAACTGGAACCACTTAAGTAGTCATAGGCGGGGAAGTTGTCCGTAAGTAGCCCTCTTGGTGCAGGTGTACTGGTACGGAGATCTGTGCTGGGACCTTCCTGGCCAGGGGCTGGTTCTGCTCCTGCATCAGGCCCTCAATTCTGGCCTGGCTGAGTGCTGGTGTCCATAAAACCCTGGCCACTGTCCCACTCGCAATGGAGAAATGCCTACTTTTCTTTTTTGCCTTTACTGCTTTTGTTTTCTGCCTGAAAGCAAACGCCCACAAGCTGTTAGCTATCTTTGGGGCTCTCCTCCCTGGCTGAGCGTGAGTCACCTCTCTGAGCATCCTCCAACCGCATGCAATGGCAGGATTTCTCTCTTGCTTTAAGCTCTCCCTACTACTGCTGTAAACAGCCCAAGATGTGGTCTTACCAAGCTCCCAGAGACATGGGAGAGGCTCGCAGGGATGGAGCTGCTGAAGCTCAACTCGTCTTGATGAACGAGGGCTAATGCCTGAAAGAGAAGCATGATGAGAGGAGGGAACATGAAATCTGGTTTAGTAAACTTGATGATGTAAGGCTGAGGTGAGCGAAAAAGATTTTCAGAAGGTACGGAAGCAAAGTGGGATGGGATACCTTATAGTTCAACTCTTCTTTTCCTGTGGCACAGGGTGCAGGAAGTGGGTGATTAGATTAATTATTGCTCTTGCAGTCCCGTGGTGGCATGTAATCAAGGGAAGTCCTGCAGAGGAACCAAACAGAAACACAGATCCCTCCCCAGCCCAGCGAGAGGGGCTGGCTCTGTGCTTTGGCATGCTGAGGGCCATATTTTTGTTATTGTCTGAATGGCCAAACCAAAGAACCCATGCTAGGCAGGAGCTCCCTCCTCCTGCTTTACGGTTAGTGGATGCAGCTGATCAGAAATCCAGCTTCGAGAGGTGTTGGCTGACCTTGTGCTTTGCATGCTATGCTATTGCTGTGTCTAGGAGACATTTCTTTACCTTCAGCCACGTGTGGTACATGCCCACGTAGGCAGATTTAAACCCAATTTGCTGCAGTTCCCTTCCCTGCAGCATTGCTTGTTCCCTGCTCTTAAGTCCATCTATCTGGGTTGCAGCATCAGATGTTGGGAGAGGCTCGTGGGCAGACTCTGTCTATGTGATTCCAGTGTAATCTGTTCCCCTGTGCTCCGGAGTATTACTAGGACCTCCTGTAAGCTGGCTCTGGAGATATCTTTTCCATCAGAAGGGGAGTGGATTGCAAGATAGTCCATTCATACTTGCTAATCTTACATTTTCTTAATGCCAAATTCCTTCGCTTTGCCAAAGAGCTCCCCTGTCCCCAAAGCCAGTAGCTCTAGTACAGAATTACTGCTGAGCCCCTGATCAGTTATCTCCCCAAATTGGATCCATGTAGGCAGGGCTCTTAAATCGCTCCCTCATTCTGCTGTAGAGATGGGAGATGAAATCGTATCTTCGTATCTCAAGTGTGCTTATAAGATCACTCTGAAAAAAATTACAGTAAACTCCGTGT